CTTGTCGGGTATTTGCTATTACTACGGTAATCAATAAATATGTGTTGAAATATTTAGCAAATCGATATTTGCCAAAGCACTTATTTATTATTTACTGCATCTCACTAAGAATCAAATCTTGTCACAGGCCACAAAAATGGACTCTCCTGCTTATAAGTTTTTTGAAGCAACTTCTCAGAGTCTACCTACCCAAAGTATTAAGAAAACAAGAAGTATATTAGGGCAAAAATTCAAAATAGGTTCCAATATGCTCCAATATCTATCATTTTTATGATTAGATTTTATAAGAATTTTAATTAAAATAACAGTATAGGTTTAGGTTTGCTGCAAACGACTGACTAATTATGAATGCGATACTGCCTATGTTAACACTTTTGGAGGGAAACTAAAACTACAGGAGGTAGCTTTGAAGGCAGTAAGAATACTCAATAAAAAATCTTTAAAACTCATAAATTAAAATATGTAACACCTACCTCCCATAGTTTGAGGTTTATGATTATAGTCCCTGAAATATCCAAAACAAGAATTTTCCTCGAGTAATATGATCCCTACACCATAAGAGACTTAGCCTGTTGCTATTTGGCACGGAGAAGAGGGATTATTTTATTGTTTTCTAACAAAATAACATACTTTGTTTACAAAGCAAGACTTTGTCTTCCATGCAATATTAAGGGAAAAGGATATAACTGTATTCAGTTTTCTACAGCTTCATTCCTTGCCTCATTTTCTGTTCTGATCCTTGTTTATTTTCATTCACCTGTTTCTAGTTTAGATTATCTTGCTGTGTTTTTATAACATGTATAAACTGCTGTAAGTTCTCCTGGAACATGATGGTATAAATAAATGTCCTGTGAACAAAGTATAATTATAATGGACGTTATACATGACATTTTCACTTTAATGGAATTTGGAAACAGGTAAGATTTATCTGACATTTATAACTTAATGTCATTTACAGATCTCTGAGAATCCTCCTGAGTAGACTGTCTGAATATAAAAAGAAATTACTGTAGTAGGCTGAATAATGACCCCCAAAGTATCAGGTCCCCATCCTTGGAACCTGTAAATGTTTCATTATATGGGAAAGGGGTCTTTGCAGATGTGATTATTTAAGGATCTTGGGAAATGGAGATTATCCTGGATTACTCAGATGAGCTCTAAGTGAAATCGCAAGCATTCTTATAAAAGACAGAGAGAGATCTGACAGAGAATGCAATGTGACCCCCAAGGCAGTGATGTAGCCAAGGAACGCCAGCAGCCACCAGAAAGAAGCTGGAAGAGGCAAGGAATCAATTCTTAGAGCCTCTAGTGGAACAAAGCCCACCTGACAGTTCAGTTGTGGTCCAGGGATAGTGATTTTGGACTTCCAGGCTTCTGAACCATGAGGATAAATTTCTGTTGTTTTAAGCCATTAAATTTGTAGTAATTTGCTACAGCAGTCATAGGAAACTAATACAATTATTTTCTAAAATTATTTTTAGAGCAGGAGAGGGGCAAGGGGAGAGGGAGAGAGTCTTAAGCAGGCTCTGCACGGAGAACAGAGCCCTCCTCTGGCTCAGTCTCAGAACCCTGAGATCATGACCTGAGCCGAAATCAAGAGGCAGAGGCTAAAGTGACTGAGTCACCCAGGCACCCCGAAATTAATACAATTATTAATCTAAATAGATGCAAGTGTTAAGTGAGAAAATTTTCCTTTTAACAGTAAAGACACTCGGAAAGACAAAAACAAAGTTATTTCCTAAAGTCATGAAATTTTGAAAGGTAGTTTAAAAAGATCAGGAATTTTTAATTCAAAGGACTGTCATATGTTTCACAAAAATGCTACATTCCTAACCAAAGCCTCTCTCTAATATATTTTTATTAATGCAAAATTCTCTAGTACCAGGAAAGCAACTGAGAATGCTGGCTTCCTGTAGGCTTGTCATTCCACACTGTTCTCCAGCTCCTTCTCATCGGATCATCCTGTGCATAATCCCACCTCTACGTTTTCTGTTCTGTCGGCTTCCCAGAATATCTTCTTATTCTGCTGGAGGTAGTGTATTATTTTATAGAGTCAAGGTACATATTTGCAGAATTTCACTTATGGAAAAACTTCTAAAAAAACCCTGCTGCTGCATTTACCGAGCTATCCATACAAACCATGTTTAAGCACCTGCAGATCTCCTAGAAAGTACAAGGGAACATCCCAGTGGCACTGCCTACTTCATCTCACTCAATTTTGCTTGTTTCTAGATCAATAGGCAACAAGATAAGCCATCCCCACTCGAGATAATTCTAAAATAAACTGTGCCGATGATAGAAACTTGCACTTAGGAAACCAGATGAGTCTCTAAGAATCTAACAGGCAATTCATTTGACCAGAAACATGTGTCAAGGGGTAAGATTTTCCCATTCATCTAAACTATAAACATTTTATGAAAAGTTTCCTTAAAGAACTTAATAGTTCTGCTGCTTAAATGACCAAAAAAAGTCTGAAAGTGAAGAACTCCAAGTACTGGGAAAATGAGGATTTAAGAGGCAAATTATCATCCATCTGTTTGTAAAAGTATAGAGTCATCTTCATACCCATCCTTACAGACCTATTCCAAAATTAGCTGATTTTTCATCCTAAGTAGTTCTTAAACCTGTTCATTTCTGTCCTCCCCGGCTGACCATCACCCTAGCCCCGATCTCCGGAGGATAACTTCACTTGCCCTTTAACTTGGGCTCCTCACCCCTTCAGATTCCACCCACTCATGAGAGGGAAGAAAGAGTGGCAAAGAGGGTAGGGGGGAAATAAATGGGGACTTCAGTTTTATTTTTCCCCTAAAAGTGGCAGGCCTTGAGTGAAAACGGGCAGTCACTGCACGGGCTCTGCTACTCACTGCCTACTTGATGTTAGAGGAATTCACATGTTCTGCTTGTCTCCTCTCCAGAGCACAGGAATGAGAACACGACCTTATGGGACTGTTGTGAAGCACTAAGTCAACAAGTGCAAAAGGCACAAACAGAAGCAGGGACATGGTAAACAATCGTCACTATTTAGATTATCACCTACTAGGCCAGACCTTCAGGCTCTCACTGGCACTATGTGGCCCTGTTTTATATCATTAACACAGTTGCAATTTTACACTTTATTTATTAGTAACTATCAAATTAATGTCTTTTACTTCCTCTACTATAAATGTCATGAAGCAAAAATCAAGTCTGTGTTTGCTTCCCCTAGCACAGTGCTTGGCAAAAGGAAAGCACTGGGATATTTGGCAAGTAAATCTTGCAAGTAAAGCAAACCAACGACACTCATGGTTCCGACCTGTAGTTTAGCTGTCTTAAGAATTCAGATGAGGGGCGCCTAGGTAGCTCAGTGAGTTAAAGCCTCTGCCTTCCGCTCAGGTCATGATCCCAGGGTCCTGGGATCTAGCCCACATTGGGCTCTCTGCTCAGCAGGGAGCCTGCTTTCTCCTCTCTCTCTGCCTGCCTCTCTGCCTACTTGTGATCTCTCTCTGTCAAATAAATAAAATCTTAAAAAAAAAAATTCAGATGAGTCTTTCTCCAATCTCAATGAATAACCAATTACTTGGGAAGCTTTCAAATACACCCATGCCCAGGCCCCAATCATTGTATTTTGACTGATCTGAGATCGGTATTTAACATTCTGCAAATAAATAATTCTTATCTGCAAGGCAGGCTGGAAAGCTCCAGTGTTGTTCCCACCTGCTTCAGGTCAGGAGAGAAGGCCTCCAGACCAACCACTGCCTTTGAATTTGACCAACAACCCCTGCCCTTGGTTGAATTCTCCTTTCCTATTGAGATAATGGGGAATAAAAAACACTAGAAGCTGCAGCTTTATGGATAGGATCTTAGCTGATGGAACACACCAGGATGGTTCGTACTGTTCAGGCAACTGTAATCCTGGCAGCAAACCTGCTGGTTGACTCCAGCCAGACCCAAGCACCCACCAAATCCCTATCATTCCGGAAAGGGTCTGGAACCTTTCTTACCTTTATTTTGCCTTTTTTTTTTTTTTTTTTGGTTAAATTTCTACTTTAAAAGCCATCACAGTATTTCTTGCAGTGTGGAAGAAAGGTAGTGATGATTGTTTTAAAGGCTAAAGAGGGCTGAACTCCGCATCCCTCCCTTCTTGGTGGTGTTCCCAATGTAGACTCCACGGTCATTGTCCTTCCTTACCAGACTCCAGCTAGACATCCGCCCACCTCTGCTTCTCTCTCCACGTACTCCCCTTTTCGCACAGTTTCATACGGATTCCTTACCCCTGGCCCCAGTATGACCCCAAGACCCGAGGCTGCCGTTGGTGACGCCGCCGCCGGGGGCTCCTACAGCGGGCGACCCCAGGAGCGGGGATCGAGGCGGCGGGACTGCGGCCCGGGATCCTGCGCGCCCGCCCCGCGGGGAGGCAGAGGTTGCTCCCCCACCTGGGAAACGGGGGCACACGCGTCTATCGCTTAGAGATCCCCGGGCGGGTAACGCTCTCCCGCCTCAGAAGCCAAGTCCGGGCTGGGCAAGCCCCTGGCGCAGCGGTGAGCCCCGGGTCTCCGCGCAGCCCCCACCCCAGCGCGCGCCGCCCAGCTCGAACTTGGGACGCGACGCCTGCCCACCGCTCAGGCCAAGAGGAGTCGCGCTCCCTTCCTGTTCCCCCAAGGGCAAGGGGAACGCCTCGCGGATTCCAGACCCTGCACAACAGGTCCTTCGGGCACTCGCGAGGTTGGGAAAGCGGGGTAGGAGGAGGAGGAGGCACTGGCTGGGAAAAGAACTCGAGCGCTCTGTGGGCGCATTTCCAGCGGAGAGACCTCTCCACTTAGCATCTCTACTGGCCCCAGCCTCACAGCAAATCCCGAGTTTGGGGAGCAGTGATTATCCCGCAGGCGCGGGCAGGAGCGGAGAGCGGCGGACGTGTGAGATGGCACCCATCCGCTCCGTCCGAGAGCAAAGTTACGTGGTGCCGGGAAAGCGCCTCTCTGAGTGCCACGACGGGACCCTCAGGGCGATGGGCGACCACTCACCTTGTGCCTGCGCCTCCATGGTGGCCGTCTTCGGACTCCGCGCCGCGGGGCTCCCAGGCGCTTCCAGAGAAGCAGGCGGCGGTGCCCGGGCTCGGAACGGAACTGGCCCCGCCGCACGCGCCCGCCCTCCCCTGCGCACTTGTCGCGAGCGCTGCGTGGAAGGGGTGGGGGACCGGGGGCCGCCTGCACTGCCGCTGTGGTTAGCTCCGCGGCGTCCAGTCCACCTGGCCCGGACCACGCGGGGAAGGAGCCCGCCGCCTGGCGCCACCTGCCGGCCGCTCTGCGCGCGGCACCGAGGGCGCCCACCCCTGACTGCGGGCGCCTTACTCAGGCCCTGCCAATGCCTGACCGGGCTGAAGTGGGTCCTCAAGCCCAGGCAGCCAAGGGGAGATCCCCAGGGAGGGAGGAAGGAGGGTGGATTTGGATTTACGACACAGAACCCTAGCTCCTGATGGAAATACGGAGTTTGGATCCTGTGATCCTCTGCACTCAGTATTTTTGTTAAATGATCAATATATAACCTTGTTTTATGTGAGTTTCTGCTTAAAGATACCGTATTTAGGTATTGTTGACTCATGAACTTTGAGCTCAGGGCCGTCATCAGTAGACCTGACACCTGATTGAAACCCGGTGAGCTTATTGAACTGACCAACATTTCACGTGAGCCATTTTAAATAGCAAAATCAGCCCCCTCCCCTGAAAAGCACAAAAATGGTGTATCTGTAGTATGAAAAGGGCACTTGTTTACTGAAACAAGGGAGAGCTTCGCCTTGTTTGACCTCAGCTGGAAAGGTAGGCGCGCCTGCCAGCCCTAGTTTCCCTGGGCTCTGCCTAAGTCTGGAAGGACTTAATGAGGAAAATTCACAGATACGGAGTGCGCAAATAATAAGCGTCAACTGCGGGTATATTTTCTAATTTAGAACCCATAAGCCCTTCCTGTAGGGTGAAGCAGTCACATTTTCAGAGAAAGACTAGAAACTGACAGTTTCGTTGCAAGCCTGGCCTGGCAGTGTGACTAGAAAGCATGGCAGAGAAGAAAAATCAGTTCATGTCTCACCTTCTCAGGTCTTTAGCCCTAGGCATCTCTTTCTCCTCACACCTGCACACTCTCCATCTGTAAAAGGAGAGGAAGCATTTGTTTACATTTGCTCTTGAGTGGTTTGCCATTATTTTTTTTCAGCCCCCCCACCTTAAAATTGATGTTAAAGTCTGTCAGGGTCAGGTATGGGTCCTGTATCAAACCCAAACGTTCCCCCCCCCATTTCTTGTCAAAAAGCCTTATACAAATTCATAGATCAAAAGATTTATTGGGGGGCACCTGCGTGGCTCAAGTGGTTAAGCATTTGACTCTAGATTTCAGCCCAGTTCATGATCTCAGGGTTGAGAGACATAGGCTTGAGTGGGCTCTGCGCTGAGCGTGGAGCCTGCTTAAGATTCTCCCTCTCTCCTTCTACCCCTTCCCGCCTTGCTCTCTGGCTCCCTCTCTCACACTCTCTCTCTAAAACAAATAAAATAAAATAAAAAGTTATCAAATAAGCAACTAACCGGTAGGTTCTATTTCATCCATACTCAAGTTACTGTCGAAGTTCAGACTAATAAACATTAATAGAGTCTTACATTTTTGTTTGAAAAAGGTATACCCATGATTTTCATGGCATATGTAAAAAACATGTCCGTGTTTTTTGTTATGTTAAAATGCCCCTGCTTTGTAATTGTCGGCATAAAAATTGCTCTGCAGAACACCAAGAACAGGGGTTTATGTGGCTTCTGGTGATAGTGACCATGGGTGTACCAAGTAATGAATCAGCATCACTGATTAAATCACTTTCAGATTCTGTCCAGTTGTTCTGGTCCCCTCTACCCTGGAAATTAAGCACCAGGATAGGGTTGACTTCCAGCTGTGAAAAGGAGCTGAAAATAGTTAATGACTTTCCAGCTTGGGTCATCTAACCTTTATCTACATTATGACTCATTTTTCTGATGTACAAAATTTTAAGCTACTACCCCCTTAATGTATTTTATCATTTTTATAATAATAAAATATTGATAGTCATTAAGAAATAGTAATTGAATTTATTCTCTGTGCCAGGGACTGTGCTAGAGGCAAAGGATACAGGTCAAGGACATGATCCTTCCTCCCCAGGGAGTTCATGGTCTGGTGAAAAGGAGAGATAAGCTGATACTTTATAAAGTAGTGCAGTGGGAGGGAAGCCAGAGTGCTTGTAAGCAATGAGGAAGTTTCCCTAACTCAGACCCGTGAGGAGATAAAGGAAGGTTTCTTGGAAGATGTTTGCCTCAGCGGAATCTTGAAGGAGGAAAGAATTAACAGGGTAGGCTATGCTGGCCCCCAAATAATGGGTTAGCCAAGGGAGACTGTGGTGTTTCTTTCCATTTCCTTGTCACTTATGGTGGTGATTTTCCTTAACTTCTTAAAGCTTGCTAAAACAGCCATCCTGACCCTCCTGTTTGTTCATCTCCAGCAGCTTTTCCCTGGGGGAACCAACACAATGGATGGGCATTTGTGAAATCCTGGTTTGCCCCTCCAGAACTGATCTTTCTGCTGATGGAGTGAGAATCTTAAATGTCCAAAGGGAAGCTGTATTCAACAGTCTTTGCTTGAACCAGTTCCGGATCACTCCTTACAGAAGGTGCTGAGGGGGCCTGTGGGCAGAGAAAGAGGAAGGGGAAGTGGGGAAGAAAGGACAGATCAAGTGTGCCACTCTGGCTTAGGAGACTTATTACTACACTGAAGGAGAACATGGGCTTTGGGTCTCCATTATTAGATCTGAAAACTACTAGCTGTGTAACCTGAAGATAGTTTCCCAGCCTCTCTGTGCCTGGGCTTCTGCATTTTGTGACAGGATGCAATATGAGCTCTTAATTGATGTCTTCTTCCCCTCCCAGCCCCCTGGGGGCCTGTGTTTTCCAGAGCAGTGTTTCCCAGACTTCTTATGTATCATCCCGCAGCCAGGGGCTCCTGAGCATTCCCAATAGCGGGGCCTCACTCCCCAGATACTCTGATTTGATTTATTTTTTGGAAAGCTCTCTAGATAATATGAATACGCTTCCAAGATTGAGAAGGACTGTTTTAGAAAATGTCCACTGCAAAGATGAAAGGCACTAAATTCTTAGCTTTTAAATTTAAGAAGTTGCCACCCAGATTAACAGAAAATAATGAAAATGAAATGGGAACAGGCAGAGCAAGGACTTCCCCCCCCCCCTCCCTGCCTCCAGGGCAACTGGGGAGGGGAGAGAAGTTTGACGGAGAGTTTAGACATGGGTCTATCTATATGGGTGTCTCTTACCCTTTCCTTCCCTACCCTCATCAGAGCAAAGAAGATGGCCTTGACAGTCCCATTGAGAAATCTGATGGCCAGATAGTTTTGAGAAATGTTAGAGACAGAGTGGGTATCACTTTGAATTTCCCACCCTTTCACGCGGAGTAGGAAAACGTCTGGGAGTTCCCTTGAGTACCATGGGGGGAGGGTCGATGTCAGGGGAGAGAGAACCAGCTAGTCAGCCACCACTTCCAGGAGACTGAAGAAAGGGAGGTTCCAGAAGGGAAGGAAGTAGTGCAGCAAAATCCCTTTGGCAGGTAAGAGGGCTGCCCTAGGGAGAGGCAGGGTCTGTGTGGGAGCACGGCCTGCCACAGGACTGCTAGTGTCACCCACATCGTGCTACCTATGGGCAGGGCAAGAGGAAGTGCGGAGAGTCTGGTGAGGCATTGCTCACAGAGAGGGCTGAGACTGCCTTCTCCCTGTCTCTGCAAACTCCCCAGGCTTCAGGAGGACTGGAATGTGGTTCCTATACCAGTCCACTTGCCAGGGAGTTGGCTGTGGCAGCCATGGGAAATTAGCGGGCTGTGGTCTTGCCAGGACCATTGAAGTAGAAACCCAAGAAGTAAACATCAGAGGAGTGCAGTGCGAGGCCCTCAGCTGGGGTCCAGCAGGGCCTAGGAGAGCCTGAATGTCTCATCAGTTAAGTCTGAGTCATTTAGTCTTACCTCATCTTCTCAGTCCCCACCTCACACTCCCCAAAGAGGAGCTGGTACCTGTAAGGGAAGAGGTCGGACAAATCAGACTAACTTTTTCTCTCTAATTCTCTCTCTCTCTCTCTCTCTCTCTCACGCACGCACACACACACACACAGAGAGAGAGAGAGAAAGAGGTTTTCCAAGCAGTGCTGAGGGGAGAAGAGGTTTACTTTGAGACTGAGAAGACTAGATCATATGCCAACAAGACAGTGATCTAATAACCAAAACTAACTGAAATGAATGAATCAGAGCCAGCTGCCTGTGAAGAAGCCATGCCCAGCCAGCTGAGGGAAAAGTAATTAGAAAAGTACAAAGAAATCATGTTTATCCCCCAAAACCTTATTACCCTCAATAAATTGGTTACATTATATAAAATTCTTCACAAAAAACCTATTGGGCACATTTTGCTTTTTTCTAAGCTCCCCTCCAAAATTTCTAGAGATAGTCTCTGGATCCATAAAATACTCGTAGGTGTTCGGAGGACAAAGATGCTTCTTTTTCATTATAAAGGGACACATCACTTGTTGCACTCTCAAGTTCCTACACACACAAATACTAAAGCTCACTCCTTCAGACTTTCAAACTGCCACATATATAATCATGTTTAAATCTCAATCTCTAAGACATATTGAAAATGTGTTCATTTTCTGTGATCTTAACGCAGGGCTTGTCCCCCTCGGCACTGCCGGCGTTTTTTATTCGGTAATTCCCTGATGTGTTGGAGGGTGTAGGAGAGAGTCCTCTGGCTCCCTTGCTAGCTGCCAATAGTAACTCCTCAGTGGTGACTCTAAACTATCTCCAGACAATGCCAAGTCTCCTGGAGGGCAAAGGGAGAGATGAGAACCACGGTGAGAACCAGGTGAGAACCACGGCTTTCACTCTCTTTTGAAGATGCAAAATCATCATGAATGAAAATCACTACCCCGTGTACTATGGTGAGGCCTACAGTGTAAGGATACCCCTGAGCTTCATCAGGAAGGGGCTTTTTGCCTCTCCTTTCTACATAGAAAAGTCTTGTCTCTTTCCGTTGTCATCAATCTTTCCTAATTTACTGGCTAAGCAGAGAGACATTGTCTAAAAAAGGACTGAGAGGGGCTTTACCTTATTCCTAAAGAGAAAGGAGAACGAGAGAAGGCAGAATGAATGATGTGGCTATTGCTCTGTAACTCTGTATAAGGAAAGTACTGGAAGTTTTTTATGTTTTTGAGGTTAAATCAA